TTCGCTATCCAGTAGTCGTACACAGACGAATTTATATTCATTGGATTTGTCTCACTGAGACGCGTCAAATGGTACTAAGATCATGTCTCTAGCACTGATATATGACTTGCTAATTCCAATTATTGATAAATCATTTAGCGTGGCTTAACTTGTGATATATCAATGCTAAAGATATGATCTTACCACTATTTGACGCGTCTCGTCAAGACGAATCCAATGATATATAGCTCGACTTTGTATGATCACTAGATGGACAGCTATTTGATTTTCGCATTTTTATAAAAATTAGATTAAACCAAACTGAACTGCCAGTTTTTCAGTTTGGTTCTTACGGGATTTTGGCTCTAATTCAAACTGTCTATAATCTGGACTAAACCGATTCATTCAGAACTTTAGGTACTAGATCAGATCAGACCAAATATTTTGGTCTAGGTTGAAGTATCAACCCAATCCTAATTTTGATTCAGATTGCCAGATTAAGACTAAGCCAATTAGAAAGAATCCCAAACATCATATATACAACTCAGAGGTTGACTTTTTGCAAATTAACCCTAAATTTCAAAAAAAATTAGGTTTTTTGCAATTATCTTAGCATTTAGCAGTCTAATTTATGTGAACTTTTTTTTGTTTTGTAACTCTCATCAAGCTCTACAAAATAAAAAAAATTTGCATGAATCAGATCACTAGATGCTGAAATAATTACAAAAAACTGAAAATGAAAAAAAAGCAAAATTAGGTTTTTTTTGGTAAAAAATCAGTTATGTCCTATATAAAAGATGTCCAGGATCCTGATTAGAGTTTTAAATATCATATGATTATCTTCTTTTTATTGATTTCTTTATGATTTATTTATTATTTGTTATTTATTTTTTAAAAGTATTATTTTTGATTATATTTACTTTTTTTTCATTAAGCATCTTTTTAAACTGATTTATAAAATTTTTTATTTCTAATATTTCTTTTTTGCTTCGTTTAGTACAGTCAAACCTTGTTATACATCAGGAAATTTTATAGTGTAAAAAATTGCGTAAGTTTACAATTTTGTAAGTTTACGAAAGTTTATTTCAAAAAATTTCAAAATATTACGTAAGTTTACAATTTCGTAAGATTTATGTGATATTACGGTTAAAATATTACACAAGTTTTCAATATCGTAAGATTTATGCAATATTACGGTCAAAATATTTCAAAAATTTACGAAACTGTAAACTTGCGTAATATTATGATTAAAATATTTTGAAAATTTACGAAACTGTAAATCTGCGTAATATTATGGTTAAAATATTTTAAAAATTTACGAAACTGTAAACCTGTGTAATATTACAGTTAAAATATTTTGAAAATTTACGAAACTGTAAACCTGCGTAATATTATGGTTAAAATATTTCAAAAATTTACGAGATTGTAAACCTGCGTAATATTACTATTTGATCGTTAAAGCTGCGTATGCAGTAGAATGTATACAAGGGGCATGTGATACTATTGAATAATCAAAAATAATATAAATACTTTACAGAAACCTTGAATTTTTAAACAATACCGAATTGATATAATAATGATGTTAAATAAATATCGTGGCGATATCAATTTGCAAATGATATCATTATGATATCGCAATGATATTATTTCAATATTAATTCAATATATCAAAATGATATCGTAAAGATATTTGTTTGAAAAAATATCAGATCAATATCATTTCGATATTGTTATAACAACAATGAATTTTTTGAAAAATGGGAAGTAAATATGATATTAATATGATATCGTTCCAACATTAATTCAATATCAATATGATATCGTAAAGATATCACTTTATAATTATCTAATCGACACCATACCGATATTGATGAAACATCAAATCGATATCATTTCGATATTGTTATAATAATAATGAAAAATAGAAAGTAAATATGATATTAATATAATATCATTTTGATATAACGAAACGATATCATTTTGATATTGTTATAACAATAATGATTTTTTTTTAATAAATGCAATATCAATATAATATTATTTTAATATTAATTCAGTATCAAAATAATATCAAAATGATATTATCTATAAATATTGAATTTACCTTTAAAAATATCAAATCAATCAAATATCGTTAAATTCAATTTTATAATATTTTAATAATTTGTAATCTAATTTTCCGGTTATTTATTACAATAACAATTTTAATTACAGATAAAGTATACATTAGTTTAAATATTATATAACAGATAAAAAAAATATCAATAAATCTATAATAAACTAATTCAATAAATTAGAATTATGAGTTAAATTGGTGATGTAAGTCAAAATATTATGCCTTAATACTCCAGAATCATAACTCATCAACCCAAAGTTGAGGATTAACCGGGTACCTTGCTTTAGATTTAGCAACACTGCCCAAGTTGGATGGGATGTCACAGGTACGCTTTAAGAAGACTCACTACGACTCTATTGCAAAAAGGATAAGTATATTTGAAAACACCAGACATAAATTCACCTCAGAAGTTTGGCGGAAAACCCCTGTAAACAACTGCAGTTTCATCATTACCAAAATCATTGAACTTAGGGATACAATGAAAAAGTTCATGAGAATGACGTCTTTAAAAAAAAAATACAAATATATTCTCAACTTTGACAATTCACCCTTATTCTTTGGCCTGGAATTCTCATATGACTGCATTATTGTTGTTTGTAATTTGATTCATTGAATCCACCATAAATTGCCTGGCAAAGCGAACTTTTATTAGACAAC